CATAATGACACCTACATATACAATAGAATAAGAGAAAGGAGAGAAGAGGCTAGGGTTTCGAGTAAAGAAAAAGGAAGAGAAAGAAAGAATGGGATTTAAAGAAGAAGGAAGAAAACTAGAAGATTTGATCATCAAGGTTATTCTTTATATTGAAATTAAATTATGTATTTAATTATTATATGTACACAGATACAAGTTTGTAGTCTGATATATCTTGCAAATAATCCATATGGGTAGGTTTATAATGTTAAAAGATGTAAATTCCAACATAATGTGGTGGGTATTTGTGTTAATAAGATATAGGAAAAAATGGGAAGAAAGAAAAAGGTATAGACCAAAGCTTCTAGAATTCCGTAAGGTTGAAGAAGATGGAAATTTTGAAATTACAGAGACCTCCCCTTTAGTTTTAAATAGCTTTATTTTGACCCTTATACTTTTATAAACTCAATTTTGACAACCATAGAACTTAGTAATTTATAGAACTAACCCAATATGTTTGAAACAAATATTGTCATTTCAAAATAGCCCCTAAGTCTTGAAAAATTTTTAAAATTTTGAAATGGCCCCTAAAGTTTCGATTAAGTGTTTAAAAATCAATGGTTACTCTAATAAATCAAATTGAGGTTTTATTCTCAAAAAATGGGTCTCTAGAACCTTAAATACTATTCTGAAAAATTTTATGGCAACCTCGAAAACAGAAAATTCTTTTTTTAAGAAAATTACACATTGAATACAAAAGTTTCAAAAATTATGATTTAACCCCCAAAATTTTAGAAACTTTTTTCTAAATAGCCTAGAATATTTCTATACCCTATTACCTTGTATTAGGAATGATATTTATATGTAAAGGATATATTAAGTACATATCAATGGATAGAAAGTACATAAATTAAATATAGAATCGCGAAATGACAAATTTAGGAATAAAGATCGATCGTTATATATTATTTTGGATTAGGTGGTGATTGCATTGAGGTTGATAAAGAGGACTTTGAATTGAATTTTGGGAATCAAGGTGAATAATTTACTACTTTTTTTGGGAGAATTTTCTATATTAAATGTGTAGATACGTGCATGTGGATTTTTCATATATATGATATATGTGTTAATATTTGGGGTTGCATTAAAATGTTTTGCAAATGTGAACTGTTATACATGTGAATGTTGAAAAACTTGTGGGATGATTTTATATCATTACTTTGGTATGAAAGAGAAATTTTGTGTGCGTTGAGACTAAAACTATAATTTTGGTGCGTGTGAAAATCATATTTTTGAGACAGGGACTGGGTTACCAAATCTGAATGGTAACAAGAGACTAAGTCAATTGTCAAGCTAATGGTAACAAGAGATTGAGTCAATTACCAGGCTAGTGCTAACAAACATGATTTGACAAATGTATTTGGAACTAAATGTGTGTGTGATTGTTTGAGTTATAAATGTATTTTTATTTATAAAGTTATTTGTGATCATAAGATCATTTTGTTTAAATGATTATGTGGGAGAGGTTGAAGTACAATTTGTTGTACTTATGTGTGTATCAAGTTTATTTTCGTATATAAACTATGATAGTTAGTTTCACGTCTCATTAGAGGTAATTGTTATTCACGGGTCATTGTGCTCATACAAACATTTAATATTTTTCAGGTGAAAATCAAGGTGAGAAGTAAGTCCACAGATAGACAAGAGATTAGAGAAATTGAAAATTTATTTTATTATATGTCTTCAGGAATAAAAGTCTTTTATAGTTTTGAGATAAATTTTTGTACCTTACATAATACAACCAATAGGAATAAAGAACTCCACAATTAAGGACACGAGGGAAGCTTCTATCCAGCTCTAGGAAGTTGGCTCTTCAATTGTTCAGATAGCTACCACTGTTCCGAATCCATAGCCTTTCAGTTGCTTCCACCGATTCACCAGATAGATCCAGAAAATTATAAATTAAGATTTTAATAAAAACTCCAACAAGTTAGGGAATTTTAAGCACATGGTTGGGGGCTGAGCATGTGAGAGTTTTGTCAGAACCTAAGCAATATCCAACAAGGAAAGTGCCTGCTCTGCTGTAGTCCCCTCTTTAAGAGTTCTACAATTTAGGTTTCAGCTTCTTGTCCTTTTAATTGTCCTTTTGAGGCTTCAAGATTGACGTATGAAGAGCGTAGTATTTTTTGAAAAGATAAGGAACCCCTCCCTAATCCTCAAGGTAATGGGTCCAAATTACTTTGAGCCAAGAAAAACATTATAATAATGTTACATGGACTTAAAAAGTAGACTTGATAATCTCAATTATTAATTTTATTGTGGGTCCAAGCATTTATTAGGACTCATTACTTATTCAATAGTTGAGATAATCAAGTCTAATTTTTAAGTTTAGTTTTTAAATCCATCTAGCATTACTCAAAACATTATTGCCATGTTAGGCTGGTTCAAAGTCCTTGTGACCTACTTTTGTGTATATGGTCCTGTTTGATCTGAAAATCACTGTCTGAAGAAAGCTGGAATCCTCTTTGTTGCCTTTATGGGACATGGATTTGATATTTACTTGATCATCCACCTCTTCAGATCACAAAGCTTATTGCTTGCAAATATAGCCGGTGTCGCATTTGGAATACCACTTCGTTAACTGATTGAGAACACATCAATTGTAGCAAGAAACCCCCCCCCCCCCCCCCCCTCTTTCTTGCCTTTGCATTCATCACATCTTTACCCTTATGTATGTATATATCATCATAACAGGGCATTTGTTAGGCTTTAATTGCACTTTTTTCATTAAACTTTTTCCCTCCCTCTTGTGCGGGAATGAGAATTTTTGTTCTATTCTTATCTCCACACATGGCCTGCCTTGTGTTATCATTTTCCCGAACATGGCCTTGTAGTAACATTTGACTTCTCTGCGTTTCAAAATGACTTTTTTGGGGGTGAAGAGGGAGAGGGGGCGAGCTTGGAAACCACAACCAGCTACGGACAGGAGTGAGAGTGAGCCCTTACCACTGGGCCACTCCCTCACCTCAAATTTCAAAATCACTTTGGTAAAGACCTTGTGGGCATATTAAAAAGTACACCTTACTCATTTACCTCAATCTCAATCTGAGAGATCAACATGAAATCTAATTTTTGGCATGACTATTGAATTCTTTAATACTTTTCATTGTTATGAGTTCAATGTCTTTGTTGCTAGAGTCCTGCACATGGTATTAGTTTGCATATGCCTAATGCTAGCAGCATGTAAAATTCTGGTTATTTGATTTCTTTTCTTTCTATTTTTAATCCAGTCGTTGCAGCGGTCTGGTATTCCATCCGACCAAATCTTATATAAATGGATCATAAATACAAGTACTGTCATGGAGCATGACTTCAACTTCATATAGAAGTATGTGGTGCGGGGTGGGGGGTGGGGGGGGGGAACCCGTTTGTTGTATCTGGTTATTGGTGGCACAGTACTTATGGATCCACATGGTGAGTTATTTTTATGTCACAAACTTACTTTACATATTTACTCAAATGTTCTTATATTCATTCCTCATCCGCATTTTTTTTTTGGGGGGGAAGCTTTCTTCATAATTTAACTGAGCTCTTTTAACTGTATAGCTTTTTTTCCCTTGAAAATTCAGCTTTCCTGACTTGCCGAAGCTGTCTAGCAACTTGTATTCTGAACAGCCTTGTCAATTTAGGAACTGATAGTGATAAATCAGAAACATAGTAATGCATAACACATGCAACTGGGCCATTTATTGGTTTGAAGACCATGTTTCCTGTTATCTTAGTTCTTCACGTTCTATTTATAAATATGACAGTTGTGGGGATTCCACTGCAATCAAAATTTTTGTTCTTCATACGTTCAGTTTGTACGCCTGCTGAATATGTCCTGGATGAAACGAGGTTTACTGATTCTGAAACTTCTCGGGAAGATGCGTACAAGAATCCTCACATTATCAAGCAGGTCAGATTTCAATCGTCTTGGTGACGATGATTGTGATGATGATGATGTGCGATCACTGCCAGAAGACGTGAAGGAGGGTCATTTTGTGGTTCAAACGGTCAATGATGGTGAACTGAAGAGGTTTATCATAGAATTAAGTTACTTAGAGCATCCAGGATTCTTGAATTTGTTGGAGCAGGCAGTGGAAGAATTTGGGTTTGAACAGGAGGGAGTTCTTGCTGTTGCTTGTGGGCCCAGTGAGCTCCGGAGGATTCTTGAGAACGGGGAAGAGAGAAGGGAATGAAAGCGGAAGAATTGTGAAGTCCACCATGTCTGAAACTGTTTAGAGAATGGAATGGAATGGAAGTGGTCATCTGAATTTTCAGTTTCTTTACATCAACTGATCACATTCGGGTGTGTTTGAATGTAATAGTTGAATGTTTATAGACAAAAGACATGTAATTATAGTTATATGCAGTGTACAAAATGGTCGTAAGTTTATTATATTGGACTCTGTTGTAGTGTAAAAAGATTTGATTTAAGCAAAGGCATTTGACCTTTATCCAGACCATCAGTCAGTCTGTAATTCTACGCCCTCTCACTTTCCAATGGTGGGTTGTTTTGTTGAGGTAAGAAAGAAGTGATCATATTGATTGTTTTCTCGACCAAGTCAGGTGATACAAATAGACCTCACTAAATGAAAAGATCGACATCTACATGGCATTGCATTAGCTCATTTTGAGGAAACTCTCGATTGCTGAAAAAAGGTAAGCCTAAACATGAAAGGAAGACCACCTGGTTTTCCAACTTAAGATGATTGATCGATTACCAATGGATATATGTTTCATTTGAAGGTAATGGACAGATATCACAAGAAATCATTTCAATGCTACTGTTCATCCACAAATTAAGTTACCCATTTTCATGAGTTCAGCTCCCACTTGGATGAGGCATTCTCGGAATAAAAAAAAACATAAACAACACCCAAGCAAGCAACCGCAAACATTATCTTTTCATGCAACCCACAACCAACAATCCTTTGATCAACAAGGAGCATCAAATCACAAATTAATTTTTCCATGCAAGATGTCCTGCAGCTCAATGGTCATTGTGAACACCAAAACAAAAGGAAATATTGATTTAATATTAATCCAAAGGCCAGATAAGGGAAAGGAAAAAATTCAAGCTACAGAAGTCCCACTGTTCTCAAAGTTCATGGCAATAGAAGAGGTACACCAATTCAGAAGAAAACCCTAAGGGAAGTAGACAGGCCAATTGAAGTAGTAGGAGTCCCGGGTGTCTTTGTCCATGTACTCATTCCACTGCAGCAAAAAGAAATGCAATGAAAAATATTAGAGTTTATATCCCAGCTAGTATTATTAAGGTCACCATATGAACAACCCACCCGAAGCCCTTGGCCTGCTGATGTACAAAGAGTTCCAGAACTAAAACTTGTCAAACATACCTTGAATTTGTATGGCTGCTGCTTCTTCAGTGCTTTCTTCCAGTGGTACTGCTCAAATAGCATTGCTTTGTCATGCCAACTGCAAATCAAAGTATTAGAATGTGAAACAAAAGCAAAAGTAGGCAATTAACATCAGACAACAAAAGTTTAGTTAATCCAGTTTCCATTGCATGCCAGAAGTGCTGGCAAAGAAATCTCTAACACAATACAAGTTAACAGCATCTAATGTTCTAGCTGCACTGCTTAAATCAGATTTCAAAAAAAAAAAAACTAAATTAACAATTCTTGACTACATTTCAATTGTTGGCATCCAGAACGTTAAAGAGAACAGGTAAAAGATTACTTAACCTAAAGGACAGAAATCCACGTCAGTGTGTAAGGGAGCAGTGAATTTTTGCACAACTGCATCTCTCATACGACAAATGACAAAATATATTCATATTCTAAATGTAAAATTCCATGTTTGATGCCCTCTTTGCACAAAGAAACACACTCAACACCATGCCAAAAAGAACATGGGGCTGGTATCTTCAATTAACCAACAAACAAGAATTTACCCAAATTCCCATGTTTAGATTTCAAATAGTGGATAACTTTCTCATCCTCTGAGCAAGTGAAAAACAGAGCACCACTATACCTTCTAGTTGACCATGATATTGGATAATTAGATAAAGCCAAAATCATGAGTGCTTAGAAGATTAAATTGAAGGACAGAGATTCAAACATACTACAATTTCTGAAAGGGCCAGAAGGAGAAAAAACTCCGCGATCAAGAAACAAGCTTCCAAATTACTCTGAAAAGCAAGTAGAATTTCTACGTTGAGTTCAGATTCTCGAGAATCTATGCTGCTACTTGGTTATCAAAGGTTAAAAGTATGACACTATTCAAGTGTTACATACTCTACTTGCATTTCCAACACTATCACAAGAACAATTTCAGTCTTGGGAAATACACTTAAAATCATATAAGGCAATTGAAGCAACACAAAGTTCCCCCTAGAGCTTCAGCATACAATATTCCTAAATATGATCATGACAGCATCAAAATGCCATATTTAACCTAATCAGGGTAACTTATGATCAACAAGAACTTGTTCTATGCTACCATCACACTATGTCACAGCCATTGTAATTCTGCATTTTTTGTGCCAAGTGTCAAATTTGAATGGCACAACCACAATGGACATCAAATGGAGCAACAGCCACATGGAATAACATTTCCTAATCTAACATTCCCCAGATAAACAGCTGAATTTTTTCCTTTATCTGGTAATATCTCCCCAAGGACATGGGTGTCCAAGATGAAAATCCCATGGAACAAAAGAGAAAATAAAAAAAGAGTTATGCGATGGAAATGAATGGCACCATTGCAAGTACATGACAGTTTCAACATAAATTACACTCGAGGATGAAGCTATCATCACATGGGGTGCAAATAATGATATGACACCACATAATAATGGAAAATGTGATCATTAAAATGTCGGAAACATGCACCGCAACCTCCTTCTTTATCAGGCAATCAGAATCCATCAGTAGCATCTATGAGCCACATGACAAATAGATCAAACAGCCAAAACATGACAACATAAAAAGGACTTTGCATCTGAACTATGAACCAATGTTACCTAAATCGTGAGTCGCTTCGGTATGTGATAAGGGTATGGGTACACGTACAACACTTTCTTATGTACGCGGTACGATGGGGTAGACTTAGCTGGTATGGTATTTTTTGTCGCAATTCGTTTTAGAACTCTTATATAGATTGTTTTCACTACTATATAACATTATGCATTACAAAACATTCATAAATATTAAGTCAGTTATCATTTATCTTATAGTTGTGCTGAATTTTCTATTATCTAAAATAATATATAATTATAAATTTATATGCATGTGATTAATTAATATGTATTTTATATTTGTACTACATGTTCTAAAATGAATTGATTTAGGGTTAGTATTACAATTTGGGGTCGTTCATTTTGATGATTTAGATCGCGAACTCACCCCGTTTGGGATCAATGTACCCAGATCGTGGGTCGTCAGGGTTGATTGAAGTGTGGTAACCATCTGAACTACCTTTTACACCTTTACACATAATTATTATAAAAGGATAATTTGGCAAGAAAAACAACATATAGGACACACTGGGAGTCACCAAATAGCTCCATTCGTTTTCATATACTATGCTAGGTGACAAATCCATCATAAAGAATATGCGAATTTAAATTGGAAACCTTGTATTAATGTTATCTTTCTACATGTACAGGCTGCCACGTTCTTAATAGCCTCAGTGACATAGAGGGACTCAGGCAAAAGATTATATGGAACACGATATAGAACTAATTCCTGAATCATCCCAACACATCTGTCTTGTATCAAATGGCCTAAGATCTTTGAATTTAAATCACACAGAGACACAAACCTAGTCGAAACTAGATCATAGAAAATGAATGCACATTACAACAGCAGCATTGGCTTTTGCCCAAAAACTAGTTACAACTCTATGTTACTCCACATCAGCGTTTGCTTTGGTAGGAGTTCGATACTGCTTTGTCAAAAGCCACAATTCTCAATAAAATGAAATTACTTACTCTTCCTTTTATCTTGTTTCCCTCTCTATCTCCACCTTGCTGTTCATACGTTCCTAGTCCTTCACATATATGTACAGATAAATCGACTTTTGTAAAGCACCCTTGTTCCAAACACAGCATAATATAACAAGACTGACATCCACAGTGACCGACAATATACCCGCTTGACAAAAACAATCATCATTTACAACCCCCAAAAGAAGAACCGTAATTCAGTGTCAGCAAATATACACAAACCGCACAACACAATCACGCGGAAAGGATGCAACCCAAAATTCCAAATGCCAAAGAAACACAAAACCCACTTCAAAACTTGAAAAATATAAAAACCCTTGTAGCAAAATTAAATATACATGTAGATACACAGAATTCTAACGGCAGAATTACATAGAAATGTAGAGATATACATGCATACACAGGTGTGAAAGAGAGAGACGGATAGAGAGATACTTGAATTGATTAGAGAGTGTCCACATGTAGGGATTGTTCCAAGTGAGAGCAGAGAAGGCGAAGGATCCAATCCATATGTTGACGAACCGGTCCGGGTCAGTGTGGGGGACTCCGGGGTCGCCTCTGTATGCGTTGCCAAAGTACTTCTCCATGCTTTCCCTCTCGAAGAGCGCTCTCTGTATTCTCAGCCCACAACACAGTATATGGTGGTCTGTCCTCTCTTCTCTCTTTTATCCGCTTAGCAGAGTAAGGGTTAATCGGAGATGGAAGAAACAACGTAATATGAATGATTTTGGATGAACGTGGGTGGACTAACATTTTGGATGAATGTTAAACGAATCTATTTAAATTTATCGGATGGATTTATTAAAATTTAATTTATTTTATATTATAGATTATATCTTTGACACTTTTGTCAAAATTTAAGGCCCAGACAAATTTACCTAAATTATCGTCAATTCGTATTTGCACAATAAATTAGTCAAATAGATAGAGTATCTTGACTCATTTATCACTAACTCACTGACTTCGTGATGTATAATCCGTTTAATAAATAAATTATATTTTAATTTTACAATTGACATCTATTTTATAAGCGAGTTGTATACTGATTAAATAACTAAAGTGTAAATACGAATTAACACGATCTAACACAATTATCAGGCTTACTTGGGACAGTTTTCGGACGCAGTGTTAAAGATGGCCCATTATTTAGTTCAATTTGGTTGGTTTAGATAAAAGCTATCATTTACTTGTCAAACTCAATTTCAATGTTCATTTAATAAACGAATGAAGCTTGAACTACAGTTTATTCAAGGAGTTATAAGAGTCGAGTTCAATTCATTTTATGAGAAGAGATGAGATGAGTTTAAGTTTGATTAAAAAAAATAATAACAAAGAGTGAAGCTTGAAAAAAACAATTAAATTTGTGACGATCTCAATCCAACTATAAAGTTTATTCACAACACAAATGAGTCAAGTTCGAAATAGCCTAGTGCTTGTCTACATTTGATTCATTGCAATACTAAGTAACTGGCTCTCATCTCATAGAATGATATATTCTGACTACCATACCAAAAAGTTCAGGCAAAGTAGTACTCTTTAGGGTTTGTTTTTTTCAAATGATCACTTATTGGGGCCTTATATATTATTTTTATCTTCAGGGGACGTCGTTGTAATTTCCTCCCCCATTTCCATAGTCCAGTTCGCTGTTCGCGGCCCATAAATAAGCCCACAACGCCTCAACGTCATTCTCTCTCCTTTCCGTCTTTGCTCTTCTCTGCTCCATTTGATGCAAGCTCAAGCTATGTGACAGGGGTTTATCAAGAAAAATCAAAACCAGCAAGTCACCGACCAAAAAATCTCCACTCTTAACACGGTTCAGATTTCAAAACCCTAGAAATCTCTTTACCCTGGGGTGGGGTCTATTCATCATTTTCTGATATCAAGAACTGTTAAATTGATTTCAGAGCACCACTTTCACCGGTAAGTACTCAGACACATACAAATTATTGGTTCTGCAATTTCAGTGTACTGTAACTGTAGGTTTTCTTCAAAATATACTGTTGGAAAAATTTAAATCCCGAGTTGAATGGTAGGGTTTATAAAGTGAAAACCCTAAATGATTCGATTTGAATATGAACAATGGAGGTAAAGTGGAGGGTACGAGAGAGACAGAAAATGTCATTGATTCATCGAATCAAGCTGGTGCCGATGAATTTGGCCGAGCAATATCGAAGATTGCGGTGGCACAGATATGCGAGAGCGTGGGGTTTCAGAGCTTCAATCAATCAGCCCTCGAAGCCCTTACCAACATTGCAGTTCGGTACCTTCGTGACTTAGGGATAACTGCGACATTTTATGCTAATTTAGCGGGTAGAACTGAGTGTAATTTGTTTGACATAATTCAAGGGTTGGAAGATTTGGGTTCTTCTGTAGGGTTTCCGGGTGCGTCAGAAATTACTCATTGTATCACAAATTCGGTTATTGCTCGAGAGATTGTTGAGTATGTGGAGTCGGCTGAGGAAATCCCGTTTGCTCAGCCAGTGCCTCATTTTCCCGTGGTGAGAACTAGGAGGGGATGCCGAGTTTTGTGGAAATGGGTGAAACACCTGCATTCAATCATATACCAGCTTGGTTGCCGGCCTTTCCTGATCCTCACACGTATATACACACACCCGTATGGAATGAGAGGGTTACAGATCCTCGGGCTGACAAAGTTGAACTAGCAAGGCAGCGGAGGAAGGCCGAGAGGTCTTTGTTGAGTTTGCAGCAGCGGTTGGTTTGTGATGGTTCAGCAGTAGCTTCAACATCAACAGAACCAGTTGATGGCAGGCATGGATTAGAATTTGATGTAAATGATAGTCCATTTCTTTCGGAGCATGCCCAAGCACGACAGAAAGATGTTTCACCTGTTGTTTTGCCAGCTAAGTTTTCGGACAACGGCAATATGGGAAACCACATTCCTCTGTTGGAAACCTTTGCGCCTGCCATCGAAGCATTGAAAGGCAATATTCATGAGTCTGGAGATGGCGACAACATTCTTCCAGACAAAAGACCGGCTGTTTTTTTGGAGTTCAAAGCTGGGAAAAAAATCTTAGGTGAACCGTTGGATTTGAGCCTCCTGAAAACAGGTCTTGGGAAGACAGCAACTGTGCTTGGGCGGGACGATGAGAAAGATGACAGGAAGAGAAGAGCTGAGTATATTCTTCGACAATCCATGGAAAACCCACAGGAGCTCACTCAGTTGTAAATGAATTCATAGAACGGCTTGCTTGATGCAGGCCATCATACTCGGTTCAGAATGGTAGCAGTTGAATAGGCAGTTAAAAGTTTTCTGGTTACTATAGTCATGCAGTGATTTGATGATAGTCCTTTTCAGAGTCCCTCTTAATCTCAGCTTAAACAATTTCTGAAGGTATGTTAATGGATGGATGTTTCAACATTTCTGTGACTGTATTCTGCTGGGAATTTTTTCCCTCAGATAAAATTGTTGCTTTTCTCCAGCCATCGAGTATATCATGGGGGGGGGGGGGGGGGGGGTGTTGTGGGGGATTGATTCTCTGATTTTGATCATGAACTTCCTTCTCATGTGTGGGTGAAACAAAAATTAATGTATGCACAAGCTTTTGCATTGCGACTAGACAAGGTAAATTATAGATTATTTCTCCTGCAGAAGAGTAGTCAATTAAGGGTTGGATGAATTATATTGTTAAAACTCCAAGTATGAGAAATTTTCTATACAAAGGGAGGAAATCCAGCTATGAAAAAACTAGGTTTTTCTTGTGCAGCAAGCATGAACAAACATGAACAAAAAAATCAGAATTTGAGTGACCAACATATATTGAAGAGGATTTGAATGCTGACATGTAGATTGAACAAATTTATGTGCTCTAGATACCTCTGCAAGTTCCTAAAACAATTCTAACTGAGAGCAATCAGCCTATGTTAATTCTGAAAAGGGAAAAGTGATAAAGAATGACAACCACATCATTATTATTAAGCCCTGAAGTCAATTGAGCAGTGCCATCAAAGGACCATGCAAATCCATTGTATACATGTATTTCATTTTACAAAAGGACTCAGTTGGGGCTTAATTTAGGCCAATTGTTTCTCCTCTTTCTTATTAATTGTGGTAAATTTCTAGATGGACTGATATTTTCTTGTGTGATCGAAATTTAGAGCTAAGTTTCAACAAGCTTTTGACTGTTTGTATAAAAGACATTTCTTGTTTGGCTTTTTTTTTTTTTTTTTAAAAATTTAGTTGTTTGCATTGCATTATCTATATTTGAAAGAGTTCATATATCAATGCCAAACCCAAGAAGGATAACATTCTATCCTAGTAGCATATAACATTTGATTTATTTTCTTCTCTTGCTGCTGCTTCCAGTAGCTTGACAAACAGAGGATACGAAAGATGGCTGAATGCAACCATGAACTTCTTTGGTTTCAACATTGGCCCCTGGAAGCTCTGGAAAAAGAAGTCCTTCTGGATTTCCTTTAATGCTGCAGTTTCTGGTATCGAGACTGAGAAAGTAAAGGAAACTCTTATGCACCTGGTTCACTGGATGCTGATACTTAAACCCTAACAATGGGGTTACTCTTTCTGCATTTTATTCTAAACTCAACAATCTATGGAGTATGCTTAACACTTTTCTCTCGCAGCTTTTTTTTTTAACCCATCAGAGCCAATGAGTGTTCGTTTTGATTTTTTAAGAAACTTCTATTGGCTATGAATTGGTGAAGGTGACGAGAACTGGACGCTTTTCTCTATTGGGCGTATGTAGCGTCTAGCTGTCTGTCTTATTTAATGTTCAACATCTGATGAATCTAAAAAAATTCACCCCACTTGGTTTTCCCCTTGAAGAAACATCTTGAGGGGAACATAGCGATTACTCACATGAAGGGGCTTGTGATTGAAAGAGAAGTTCCAATATTTTCAGTTTTTTCCACTTTCTTCTCCTCCTGTCTGAATCGTAAATTAGGTACCCCACATCAAAAACTAACTCCAAGCAATGACCACAATTCAATTGAGCCAATTCGAATGTCTGGTTACTGGTCTGTGAATCACTACTTGTCAGCTGTCAGAACTATATGGGGAACAGCTAGAGAAGTTTGCTGTTGTATCTATGTCTACAAATGGTCAAGCTATACTGCCACCAGTTACCGGGGGAGGTGTCAACCACAGGAAGTTTGGCTGCAGCATTAGAGACGAAGAGGAACTTACGAGATTTTATTATAGAATTGTCTCCCATAATATGCCGGATCTTGCCAGTTGGCCCTTACCTGATCTGCAGCATGAAACATAAGGAAATGCAAAGAAAACCTTCCTACGATTCATAGTTTCTGGAGATGGCATAGTGGATATTAACTTCGTAAATGTTACGATATTTCATAGACCAAAAAACAACTGATGATCACTATTCTCCATTTAAATTCGACAAGCATCTACCTAGCTTCTTGTACGTGACAGAATACCAACAAATTACATTTTGATTATCCATTAGGGGGGAAAAGTAGAACATCTTGCAAGTTCAAAAATACTAGTCGACATTGTGTCTACAGTGACTTCAGCTTCATATTAATTTCTGAAGGAAATGCTCTTCCACGATGATTGAACATCATGAAATCCATATTGTCGGATAAAGCAACCACCCTGCATTCCAGAAAACATGACACCTGGTCTAAGTTATCCAAAACATTTATTGTAGCAATTGAAATATTACATCATGTCAGGCCAAATTTATAATACCCTATACAACAGGAAGGACAGACACAAAAAAAACAAAATGATGGCTGAGAACGAGGTACTGTAAATAACTCATTAGGGCAAAGCACATACAAATAATAGTTGTCTACGCAGAAAAATGTGAGCAGATGTAAGTTAATTGTTGTAGGTCCAATTTGACCCTTTTCCTGTCCTAAAGTTCCGGGTTGGACTGCCAAGGTACATAATCATTTTGGCTTTTTGATTATACTTCGCTTGCTTGCACGTGGTAGAACTAAGGGCCATAGTTAAGCATACCAAGAAAAGGGCTAAAAAATAACCCACTTGAGCAATTTGACAATGAAGTAAAGAGATGGTGGATTACACAGGAGATGCAGGACCTCCCTTAACCGCTAGTGCATTACCCTAGCTTGACAGCAGAACACATAAATGTGTACCTACGAGTATATATCTATTCTTTCTTGGTTGCTCCTACAATAATAAAGAAAATAGAGGGGCCCCATCTGGAGAATTCTTTGAAGTATGTCTGACAATGTTTTCGTCAAGTTACCAATTAAGCCAGAATGAAGCTAATAGACGTAACTTCTTAAGGGCTAAGTAAACCTAGTACATAACAAGGAAGAATGGAAAAGTAGCCTACGTGGCTACAATGAGCTTACAAGTACCCTTACAAGATACTGCTCATTAGAGTATCTCCAACTCTTACTCTTTTTAAACCCAAATTTAAATTTGGGTTAAAAATCTTTAAAAACCTTCTTCAATACTATACTCAAACTCATATCAAATCAAAGGATACTCAAACTTTTACTCCTTGAAAAATATAATGGTCATATTTTATCCTCCTTTAAATTTGGGTTTGTCCTCTTTTACCTTTGAATTTCTCCGTTTGAGTGTTTTGTATTAAATCAAATGTTGACTCAAATTTGAGTCAAGATTAGAGATGCTCTTAGTAAATTAATGACAAGCATATTGATCACATATCTTCAAGAAACCAGCTCTTCAACCTCCCCCCCCCCCCCCCTTCACCTTTTTTTCCCCTCTCCCTCTTGAGACATAATGGCCTTCTTTTCCTACATAGTATCAGTTTGTTCACTTTGGTTATACAAAGGAAGACTAGGTACTTCATCCTGTTATTTCACTACCAATAGAGTATCAAACAAATAAGAAGAAAAAGAAGAAGAAAATGACAGTAAATAAGAAAAGTTATTTCCATTCATGATAACTATGGAAAGCTTTTGCAATTATGGGGCTTCAGCGCATTGAACCAATATGCGTAACACTCCAGAAACTTGTCCAGTCTTTAACAGTAACCTGAGGAATTCGGAAAAGGCCGAACCAGAAACTATTGCAGGAAAAAAAAAAGGTTGAGCCCAGGAAGTCATTGATTGTATTAATGAAGAAGTTGATAATCCCTCTAAGATTAGGCTGATGCTATCAATGACATGAAGGAGTTGTCTTAAGTATATATAAATTGAACAAATCAACCACAAACAAAAAATAAAGGATGTTTTTCTTTCTCTTGGGTTAGAAAACTACAAATAGCAAAGAATGGAGAATGACTCCTATTCACAATAGCTTTGTCTATACAGCTAACTTATTTCATTCCTCTCTATACTGCCATTTCAGCAAATAACTGAGAAGCTCAGGAAACTTTCAGGATATTTTATGTAAAATAATTCGATGAGCAATCCAAGTATCATACAAATGGATTAGAGCCCCAATTGCTCTACTCTAGAGAGGGAGGGATTTATAGGTGGCACCTCATTGTCAAATAAATCAGACCTCAATCTATGGCGCTCCAAAGATTTGCCACCAACGTAATGCTATCAAGGTGCTTCTATAATATCTATTATTCGGTCTTATGATCATCCTTATTCTTGGAACTTGGAACTTCGGATTTCGTTGATATCTTAATGATAGGGCCATCAGAGGAGTTGATTTCATTGTTTGCTATTTTCTGTTGTCTCAAGATTCCGTTGATAAGAAAAAGTGGGTATGTGAGTCTTCAGGTGTCTTCTCATGTAAGTTTTTTTCGAGAATCTCATTGATGATTCCTCTTGTTATTTATTTTTGCCCTCGATCATGATTTGGAAGGCTAAGGTGCTTATTAAAATGCAAGCTTTTTGCTTGTACACGGTAAGATTAATACCAACGATATGCTTTAGAAAATAAGACCTCAAACTTGTCTTTCTCCTCAATGGTGTATAATATGTAAAAGTGATTGTGAGAGCATTGACCATTTTTTTTTCTACTGTTCTTTGGGAGGATTGAATTGGATACTTCCAGCAATATCCACATCATGGTTTGTTGAATCCTGAAAGGTTTTAGGCAAAGTGATAAAGGTTTGGTTTTACAGAATTGTGCTATTATGGCTGGAGAGCTTCATTTGATTTATGAGCTTCTAATGTATTTATTTTTGTTTGTCTTTGTTTCTTTTGGTTGGACTTCTTGGCCAACCCTCCTTCATGTACTCTTTGATTTTCCGATATTAATGCAATCTTTTCTTTCTTGTCAAAAAATAAAAAGACGATGAAAGACCAACAAGAGGAGAAAAGAAACTTCCATGCAGGTTACATGTGTCACCAATATCATGACATAATAGTTCTACAAATCATGAGTCGTTTGGTGTCTACTGTCTAGCTTAGGGTGTATAATTCCATGGTTGTTTCATTCACTATACTTTTTTATGATTCATGGATTCACAATATTAATATAGGTAACAATGAGTGGAGAGTAAACTAACTAATTGTTGCTTTTTGATGACCTTCTTGAATCTTCATCTCTTCTTATCAATCAAAAATTATTGTGAACTTATTACCCCTCTTACCATGGTTACGCTGCAAATTTCTATGAGAACACTGCAAAACAACTTCCCAAAAGATGTACGAAAGAGTTGGAACAAAACCAAAAAACAGTTGTTACAACTCATTTGTTTTGTGGCACCTGTCAATTGTATGTACGTTAGTGTCAGAAGACCACCTAGGCACCCCAAAGAGTGCCTCAGCAAAAAGATGTTTTTACCAGGGCTCACCAATGTTTCTAACAACTATTATTAACTTACTAACCTGAACCAATTATTCTTGGCATAAATTTTGTTAGATGTAAGGATGGGGCACTATATAATTGTTTTGGTCAACTACATGAACTTTGACTCGACATTCTATTATATCTAGGGCCATGTATTCTTTCTATTCTCTGTATATGGAGCTATAAATTCACCAATTTCCCTATGTCCACTCAAATCACGATTAGATTTTAAAAAAGCTTCCAATATCTAATAGCATCATTATTTCCAACAGCCTTGTGACGAAATAGAGTAACTAACAACTATAGACAAAACATCAAAACTTAATTGCACCTGTTCTCATCTGAATCAGGGAGTATAGATAAAAACTTCCCTGGCACAGTCAGTGCAGCCCACACGCACAAAATCAATCCAAAAATCAGCTCCAATACGACCTGCAATACCAAAAACATTCACAGTAACACCAACAAATTCACACATGGAACTATATGTGCATAAATATAATTTAATAATAAAATATCCAAACAAAAAATTCCATGGGAAAGAGATAGATTACGTTGATAGGGGGTCCAGAGAACTCCTCCTCTGTGATCTTAAGCAACGCTCTATCTGCAATTAAAACAAATATAACCAAATTGATATTTAAAACGCAAAAAAAAAACAAAAAAAAAAAAAAAAGATTGATTGATTGAGACGACAGAGAAACCCTAATTTTTCAATTTAGTGCAGAAAGAGAGAAGAGCGAACACTGTATGGTAGAGTAGGCCGCGTGGGAAAGGATCAGAACTCCAAGCACGCCGATGACGAACCCCGTACCCATTTTTCTTCACCAATCGCCGGCCGAATTTCAGATTCGTCGACGGCGGAGAAGGAAAGAATGATAAAATCACCTAAAAGAAGTTGTGTTTTTGACTCACGAGCTTCTGTTAAGTAGTAGTAATTTAAAAAAAAAAAAAAGAAAGTCATTTATGTTGAAGAAGAAAATAATAATAAAAAATAGTTATTTTCTGCCTATAGTATTGCATCTAAAATAAAAATAAAAAACCGAAAAGTCAGAAAAAAAAATTTAAATCACATAAATACAAGCAAATAGGATTTTTTTTTTTTTTTTTGCTTGCTCATCTAGGTCCTTAGAGCATCTTTAACAAGATTTTGTATTTTATTTTTAGCTATCAAAAGTATTTTTTTTTATTTTAGCTACTCATTTTTTTAATATACACTTTAATAAATTTTTTATATTTTAAATATTATTTTACATATTTTGTATCTTTGTTAGAATTAACGATGGAGCGAAAGAAAGGATGGAGGGAAAGACAAAGAAGTGGGGGAAAGACACGAGGAAGAGAAAAAATTTATAAAATATTTATACAAATTCCTATAGTAATACTTTATTTTTAAATACCGGTTTAGCAAAAATGTACTTTAGAGTATCTGAATATATTCTGTTGAAGCATAATTTTTGTCTTTGATTAGTTAAATTTTAGTTATTTTAAAATTTTACATATTCTGTTGAAGATAGTTTCATGGAAAAAGAATACACTAAATTTCTAGCAATTTTCACTTTTATAAAGAACATAAAAAATGAGGATTAGCAATGAGGCTCACGCCAGTCGAGGTCCGCAAAGAGGTAAATGTACAAAACATATAACAAAAATCAATAAAAATTTGAAGGTACCTTTTAAGAGCATGTTATATGGTGCGACATTGTTGAGTATATTATTTAAGTTTTTATTTATATTTAACTACAAGAGAAAAATAATGATGATTAAGGACAGATTGTGAGAGTTTTATGAATTAATAAATTATAAGAATAAATATTAAAAAAATTAGAGCTAGCAATAAGGTTCACGTCAATCAAGATGTTTTGAATCGTATACTATTGTAGGAGCGTAAGATCAAAGTTAATTCGCTTTAATCCCAAAATTTTTCAAGATGTTCCACGTTCTTTAGAATTTGAAAAAATTGTCTTTAATTTGTTTGCTCAAACGATATAGTGTTATTACACAATAGGAATCAACACCAAATTTTTCACAACACAAAAGCTTTTCAACGTTACTAGATCATGCACACGTGCTTTGCACAAGAATTATTTTAAATTATAATTTTTGTTTTAATTTTGTTTTTATAATTTTTTAAAATAATTATGTAAATATAACAACCTATAAATACTTATGAATTGAACAATGTAGTAAACTTGCCACAAATCGAATGATTTATACTGTCAGAAAGAATATTAGTTTTTATTTTTTTTCTATTAACTGCTATAGTTTTGAGTAATTATTTTCTTATAAAACTGTCTCCTAAGATTTAGAAATTTTGACATGAAACTAATAATTTAGATTAATTATATTTACAATATCATTGTAATGACACAAATACATATTATGATATGCTGATATATATATAAACTAAACAAAAATACGAACACTTATTGAATTGTAAAAATATATATAAAGAAAATGGCTTTAAGTTCTAGTGCCCACAATCATACACAATTAAAAGAAAGTTAGGTTGTAGAAATGAAATAAGTAATTAAGTTAGTTGCGATAAGCAGATTAATTTAATCATGAACATTTTTAGTATTAGTCATCATCCAACAAAAATAAAAAAAGTAAAAACAACCCTACTCTAGTGTTGCGAATAAGAGAATGCATTGATACTAAAATTGTAAAATAGAAGAAGATGAAAAATTAGGATTTGATATTGTTATTGACGATACATTATACTACAAATAAAAGTACACTATTAAGAAAAAATTTTATTTAACTATTTTATCTCTACAAGAAAACATAATCACAATGTTAACCATATTTAATGTAAAACTCTTTTAATAGAACTTGATTAACATTAAATTTTGTTGAACTATTTTACTCTTAAAATAAAGCATCAATGCAATATTAATCTTATTAATACAAAATTCATATTAATACAAATTCATTAGTATTATACATATCCAAACTTTTCATCTAACTTTTAAAATGTAAGTTTAACTGTTAAACGAAATTAAACTTATTTTTATTAGTTGATGATCAAACTATAAATAAAGACACGTTTATCAGCCGAGAGAATAAGAAGATCACAGAAAATCCTAGAAAACTACTTGTATAAATAGAATACCATCACGTTATGTAAAAAAAGGGAGATACATCAGAAAAACTTGTACTCACAATTCCCTATTCACACTAGCTCTAAGCTAATAAACCTACTATAATTCTCTTCTTTCTCAAGCAATAGAAACCCTACGGAGCAGGAGCTTCCATTACAGTAGATGTAACCCTGGTCTGTCGGCTAGGGTGAACCACTCATATATTATCTTTGATCCAACTTCATCATCCATTTTCCTCGGTTAACTTAGAGATTTACACTACCCCCCCTCCCCCATCTTATTAAACATTGTTCTGGACTTGGGCTGAGCATTTTAGGGCACCATCAGTAATTATTTTTATTTTATTCAATGATTTATAAGTGGAATCTTAATCAAATTAATTTTAAAAAAATTTAATTTTCAAACATCACTAAAAAATCACTTTCAATTACAAAATTATAGAAACAAAATAAAACTTTAATTATTCTTTCTTTTTTATTATTTTACATAAAGTTAGAACAAAAAATATTAAAAATATACAAAGTTTTCAAAAATTCTGTAATGGAGCATGAGAAATGAAAAAATAAGTTTGATAAATTAGAGATGATATTTAATTCAAGTACACTTATACCAAATATATATTATTTTTTTAAAAAAAATTATTCACATGCAACGAATGTGGTGCATTACTAGTTGATAAAAGACTGAATATATGAATTAGTTTTTATCTGCACTGATCCTAATTGACGATTTATTTGCAACTGTATTTTGTTATTTAATTAGGAGAGAGCCTTTATCTGCATCAGGATCGCATTAGCCTGAGGAATGGCCTTGAACATATCACCCCCAACATGGGTTACTCTGTTGTACACTGGTGTAGAAGCAACTACATGAGGCAAAAGTAAAAACAACCCTACGCTAGTGTTGCGAATAAGAGAATGCATTGATACTAAAATTCTAAAATAGAAGAAGATGAAAAATTAGGGTTTGATATTATTGTTGACGATACATTAAAATAAATTCTATAATAAATAATGCTCAAACATGTCTTTATTCATAGTTTGATCATCAACTAATAAAAATAAGTCTAATTCCTTTTAACAGTTAAACTTACATTTTAAAAGTTAGATGAAAAGTTTGGATATGTATAATACTAATGAATTTGTATTAATATGAATTTCGTATTAATAAGATTAATATTGCATTGATGCTTTATTTTAAGAGTAAAATAGTCCAACAAAATTTAATGTTAATCAAGTTCTATTAAAAGAGTTTTAGATTAAATATGGTTAATATTGTGATTATGTTTTCTTGTAGAGATAAAATAGTTAAATAAATTTTTTCTTAATAGTGTACTTTTATTAGTAGTATAGATGTAAAAAGAGAGAGAATCTAACGTAAGTTTTTCTAATGATGTTCTATTGTTGCCTTAGAATTTATTTAGGCAATCAATGAGTGCATTAGAGAAGGACATGATTGTTAGTGGTTTAACAAGCACATCCCTTGATTGTAAAGGACTCCTTCAAGAGTCATGTCCCTTGGGCATTCTCTAATTGGATCGACCCATCATAGGAGTACCGGTTTGGATTCATCACCCAAACCCAATATCTAACATCTCTCACTCGCTCATGATGGGTACGACACTACCATCTCTCTCAATCCATTATATATATCAGCGTCAATTCATACAGTCTTATGGGGTCGTGCAACCGCTGAGCACACCTACAATTTAGGAGCTCTACACTAGAAACTCTACAGAGCCAATATAGAGACATCAATTCTAAAAAAAAAATACAAATGGTGTCTCAAGTACACTAGACCCATTCGAATGCACCGATTCAAGCATCTCTAATCCCTCACAAGATAAGAACATGCTTAACCCTCAAAACTTTCACTTATACATTCACACTTTGTCACTATCTAAACTAGCGCCCAAAATTATCGACAATGAATATATCACGAGATGTTCCAAATGGTCTTCCTTTCGCCCTCATGTCACTTAGTTGAGAATTAACCGTTTTCCCAACAATGTCCTAGAAGACCGAATCACTCATGATCATAAGTAACATGCTAAAGTAGTTGAGTCTTAATTTTTTCACTTTACGACATAGTTAAAAGTCAGAGAGTACATATAATGTTTGGTTATACAAATAACCTGGTTAGAACTCACACAATAAGGAAGCAAGGATCCATTCCTTCACCTCTTTAATTGATCACCAAGCACATATACTATGAAATACAGGGTACAGTGGAGTGTAAGTTTAATGAGAGAGTATGTCATACTTAAACACCGTACAAATCTTAGTCTAGTCCCTCTAAAAGCGTCTAACCTAAGTTCTCTATTTGCTCGCCTTCCAAATACACCAAATTAAGATCTCGGATCTAGCTAATTAATGAACACATACATAAATGGACATGCATTTGAGTCCATTATCTATCCTCAAATGTTAGATCTCATTATGTATACAAAATAAAGCAATCCTATATGCTAGAGTATCTCATCTTTGCTCACCATCTCAAGTGCCAAGGGAAATTGCTCGTGTGAGTGAGTCAATCATGCCCACTGACATACTTAATGTGTGTGTTTGCTCAAATACCAAGGTAATTAATTATATAATATTTAATTGTAAATAAAACCATGTATTAATATCCCAAAAAATGACAATACACATAACTGTGTGATCCATATAATCTCTAGCACATAATCAATACCTATAAAGTCCTAAAGTTCTAAC